GTCATCTGAACGACTATTTTATTTGCTTAAGAATTCACTTTTCTAAAAGTAATAATATAACTTTCTTTGTAAATTATGTTGATCTTTGGATTAGCATCAACCACTCTGCATTAGTTAGATATTCAACATCTAAATAACAGTTTTACCAAAGCAAAGCATGTTTTCAAATAATGTGTCTCTTTTCTATCCGTTTAGGTTTTATGTACCCACCAGACCGGAGTCTTTGCACATCTTATCAACGTGTCTCCTTTGTATTATTATTATGTTTATCACAAGAAGTTAAAAGTTGAGTTCATGATTGAGCAAATTTTACATGTAAAATTGCCCATAATCACTACTATCTAGATTAAATTTAAGTGTACACTTGTCTCGTCATACATGTGTTATTCTTTTCAATTTGACCCCTCTACGTGAGTTTTCAATTTAGTTCCTATGTGTGCAAAATTTTTTTATTTGTTCTTTGCGGGCTATTGCTATTATAATGCTGTTAGTTGAAGTAATAACATTTTGAAGTATAGGTGTCAAATTATAAGTGTTGTATGTAGGAACCAAAAATATTCTATCACTGGTTCCTATATGTGACAATCATTTCTAATTTGATTCTTGCAGTCTATTGCTATTATAATACTGTTGATCAAAGTTTCATTACGTAGTGGAGTATGGTCATCAAATTAAAAATGTGTCATAAGGGACTGGGAATATTATATCTTTGACCCTGATTAACAACCATTTTGAATTTGGTCTCTCTATACAGTGATGCTCATGGCAATATCACACTGTTACAAATAACAGACAACAGGAACGATATTGAAAATAATTGTCCATATAGATATTAAATTGAGAACCTTTTTGTATGGGGACCAAGTTGACAAGAAGTCTTGTATAACTAACATATACCTTTACCCTTTTTTTGTGATATCTAGAAAGTTGATTATTGTGTCAATGAACCTCCATTTATCACTCCAAATATGTTGACTTTATTTCTTTATATGTGTGTGTATGTATGTATTATCATTGCAATAAATTTATGAAGTGTCATACAAATGCATGTAATAGGGTCAAAGTTCAAATCTTGAAGAAGGCATTTGTTTGTAGGCCATCCCAGCGTGTACTTTAATTTGTTGAGTTGTGCCCACTGTCAATTCCTAGCACTTTACCTCACAGCAATGGCTGGAGGGAATTCACTGTCTTTGGTCCCGGAAAATATGAATACTTGTATGGGAGTTAACTTGATTTAGTTTAAGTCAATTGTTTAACTTGTGTTTCCTTGCTTCAATTGATTTTTCAATTATGGTGTTATCAGTTCTTCTGTAATAGAAAGAACCTATATATTTCAAGACACAATTTAACGGTATATTTGGTGATATTCCATATGGACAGGGTGAGTATCAATGAATTAGAGAGAAGTCATCCCTCTACATTGAAGAAACAATCCACCTTGACTGCTCCTTTAAAGAGGTATGCAGAATATACTTTTCTTGATCTTGTTGACATGTTTTCCTGCTGGGATATTGATAGGATATAATGTGTATGATAGGAGGAAACAGATTAAAGAGTAGTTGTTAGTTAGGTTGTTAGGGTGAGTGAGGTTTCCTTTATATAGTTGGGGGTCCTGGTATACTAGGCACTTTTGGATAATTTTGTAGATTGAGCTTTAGCTCTTTGTGAAGGGGAAACCCTTGGAGGAGAGAGTGTTCTATTTTTGTGTTCTTTTTATACAATAAAGAATATTACACTTCTTTCTCTTTTCAATTCTGGGTTTGTATAAGATATGCTCTAACGTTTAATTGTAAAAATAGCCTGTATTCATCTTCCAACACCCTTGTTTAGCTTTTAAATAGCTGAGCATTGGACTATTTCTATATTGTGAATTATGTAAACTTGAGATTCAAACAGAGAGAATATATGTTTAGAGGGCTTAAAGGATCTTTCTCATGTTCTTCTATTTATATTAATGAAGAGTTGATACAATAGGACGATGAAAGATCAAGGGACTGTCCTAGACTGCAAGGCACAAAACTAGGTAAAGTAGAGATAACCCCAACACACTACTCCCTACTTTAGTCTACTGATTTCACTAACATAAGTAGATTAAATAATTATTTCAACACTCCCCCTTAAGCTGGAGCATACAAATTGTATGTACCAAGCTTGAAATAGAGAAACTCAATCTGAGGTTTCCTTAAGGACTTGGTCAACACATCTACAAGTTGGTTATTTGATCTAACAAACTCAACACTTATTTTTTTGTCAACAACTTTTCACGGACAAAATAACAATCAATTTTTATATGTTTAGTTTTCTAGTGAAACATTGTATTTAATGCAATGTGGAGAGTAGTTTGATTATCACATTTCTGGATGTCAGAAGTTAAGCTCTTGAAGAAACTGCTTAACCCATAAAGCCATAAAGTTCACACGTTAGTGATATCATTTTCCTATATTCAACTTCAGTTGTTGATCACTGTTTCTTACTTTTTGTAATGGCTTTTCGTCCAACGAGGGACTAAACATATGCATCACTGCTTTCTCTATTTATTTTTCAACTTTTAAGAATATCAGAACAATCCATCTGATCGATTTTTTTTAATAACTGCCTGATGAGAAAAAGTTATCATCTATAGTTTCTTTTGATATTGACTTTATACATGGTTGTGGATAAATTTGATCATGTTCAATTGTTGGACTGCATACTAAATAATACAATACCTCTATTGTAGTTTCTTGCTCAAGAAGTATTTAACATTAATGCTTTTCTCTTATCTACAGCCCTGAGAAAGTGAAACCCAAGCCATCTCCAAGAAAGAGCAAGAAAGTAGGCATGGACAGGGATCGCTACAATAACTATTCACATGCATGTGAGACCCTTCTGACCCTGATTGTGGACAAGAAGCAGCGTGGCAGCACAGCAATTCTCTCCCTGAAGAAATTTAGCTCTGAGCTTTTTGATCTTCTGATACAGTTTACTGCCAGTATTGGTGGAACCGGCGTTACTTTTCTGCTATTTGTAGTGCGTAACCTAGCTGGTGGAAAGGCTACCTTCTGTGCTTCTAACTTTTTCAACACTGGGTTTGGATTGGGGTTGCTTTGTCTTTCTGGGGCAGTAAATAAGCTCAGGGTCACAATTTCGAGCATCGTCGAGAGCTCAGGAAAGTTTGGTTTGAAAGAAGAGAAAATGATGCAGAAGCTGGATGAGAGCATAAGAGATATTTACTATACTGCTGCAGCATTGCTAGCAATGGTGATGCTGAGATTTGCTTGAGTGGCATCTCCGAAGACTAGTTTGATGAAGTGAATAATGCTCAGTTATTTCTGGTTGGTTGGATGTCTACAGTGATGGCATTGGTGAAGCAAAGCAGACTGTTAAAGAACAAATGTTCCAATTAGTTTTACAATGAGATCTTCAAGGTACAATGCTGATCAACAAACCGCTGTTATTTTCCTACTTGCAATTAACCCGAGAAGTATTCCTTTGTATTGTAGCTTGTATAGAAATTTGCAATGGAATCAATAAAATGACTGCTCTATTTTCATCGTTAAAATTAGTATAATGTTCAACTGAATACTTTGGTTAAAAATAAAATTTAATAATTGTTCTTATACCCCCACTGAAAGGTCTTCACCACCATCTACATTCATAAAAATGGGGTGCTGCGACTAGTACCTATGCACTCTGTAAATGAATAAACAGAGTCTATAAGGAAAAAGGTGGTCAGACCATTTGATACTTATGTATCAGTCATGTAAATTTTTGTATTTGTAAAAGAAAAAGAAAAAAGTAAAAAATAATGAAAGATACTATTAAATGGCAGTAAAAATATCGAGTGTCAAAATATCACTGTTGGTTTTAGGTCAGTAAGAGTTGTTAGCAGGCATGAAGAGTGGAAGAGAAAAATTAACTCTCTTTTTTTCTGCATGGAGATTGTTATTTACAAACAAGTCGACATATTTTTATTGAGTTATTTTTCTCTTATTTTAGTTATCATGAGAAGAGAAAAAGGAGCAGTCAAAGTAAAAAAAAATAGAAATGAGAATTTGTTATGGGTCATAATCTTCAGTTTTTGTCACCATCCAACATATTTTAACAGTTTTAGCATGCAAAGGATAAGGTTGAAGAGCTTTAAGCGGAAAAAAGATATATATTAGGAAAACAGTTGAATTATGTTTTCATCTTTGCGTATTGTCAAGCTACCCAAACAATTTTTTATACGAAAAAGTCTTTTTTTATAAAAAATAAATATAAATCTAATTGTAATTTTGTAAATAAAATTGTAGACAATTTTTTTTTCATTTTCAATTAAAAACTCGTTTCAAATACATCAAGACACTCATATAGGTAGAAATAGATTTAGTTTAGCTATGCTTTGCCAGAGTCCGAGTTAACATGTCTAATAATCTCATTACTCAAGTTTGACTTATTAATAGTATGTCATAGTTTCTTTGTTAGACAGTCTGTGTTATTCTATAACCAGCAGGGTAACAAGCTTTCGAGTTAGTAGATCCTTTCACAGAAAAGACTAAAAATCAGACTAAACAGCATTAAAACCATTAAAAAATATCACGTTTTAACACATTAAACTAGCTAAAGTAAAAAGCAGTCTTTAATTGTGAAAATGTCTGACCTTAAATAAAAGTTTACGGTCTGACTTTAAATAAAAAGCTTATTATAGTTTAAGTCTCGTCTAGCCTCAAACAAGTAAAATCAAACTCTACGAATTTATATTATAAACTATGTGTACGCCAAACGAAGGTGGTTTTAGATAGAATAATTTGACCTTAATCATTAAAAATTAATGTAATATAATATTACCATTGTTTAAACTGCTAGTATTTATTATTCAATTATTACGTTTCAGCCACTCAGTTACTTTTATAACAAGTGGAAATAGACAAATAACATAGATGATAAACATATACCTAATTCCCAAAATGTATCATTACAGCTAACAAATCAAATTGCAACCTATTCATTTTTCTCAAATCAATGTATGCCATCAACGATAGAGGTTCAAACAATATGAAAATCGTTATTAAAAACAAAAGATTTGTAAAATCCAATATCAATGGCTCGGACTGTTGCAACACAAGATACACATTATTTTTCATAAAGCAGAAAAAGTCTGCGGTGATCAAAGGCATGTTGAAAATTATGCACTACAAAAATGAACATTGAAGATTAATTTTTCTAAATTTTACTCAATTTACCGAACTTCATCCAACACAACCGCTAAATGATAATTACTTGTCACATGGTTTGTATTTTTCAGGATAAATAGTCAGGTCTCAGGGCTTCCAATCCCTTTTAGCAAATGTGTAGACTAAAACTTGAGTCACAGAGAACGGTACTAGCTCAGTACTTTTGACACCACACCTGCACCAACTGTTCTGCCGCCTTCTCTCAAGGCAAATCTTTGTCCTGTAAAATCAATTGCAAACAGTAAAGCAAAGTTTCCAGTTTCCAGCATGAAGTGTACAAGAATATTCAACATACGGATAAATACATTTAGGTATATACACTGAAATAATATTTAGTTCACTAATGTAGTACTACTGACCCGCTTCAAGTGGAACTGCTGAAATCAATTCAAACACAGCTGTAACGTTGTCTCCGGGCATAACCATCTTAACATTTTCAGGCAACTCTACTTTTCCAGTGATATCAGCTGTCCTCAAGTAAAACTGAGGTCTATAGTTAGAGAAGAATGCGGTGTGTCGGCCACCCTCATCCTTTGTGAGTACATATATCTCTGCCTCAAACCTCTTGTATGTTTTTATAGAACCTGGCTTTGCAATCACCTTCCAATAGAAGGCAGCACAAGGAAAGCGGTAGCAAAAATTTAGAAATTTGAATTCAAAACTCAACAATTTTACTAAAACAGACACAGATGATATATGTTGTTCTCTTGCATGCAACTACAATTTCTAACAAAAAAAGGAAAAACTTGATCTCTGCAACTAACCTGACCACGTTGAATATCTTCACGCTTCAGACCACGGAGAAGAAGACCAACATTGTCACCCGCCTAATAATACATAAACAATCCATTTTAGTTTAACATATGCTCCACGTCAATACCCATAGCCCTTTTGCATGAAGATAACAGTCACTTACTTGTCCTTGATCCAAAATCTTCTTGAACATCTCAACTCCAGTTACTGTTGTTTTCAGAGGACCCCCCTACCAAGGAAAACTCGGTTTTAGGACTACCATTATAAAGGAATTAACCAAAGCTCTGATAGAGAAATGAACTAATGCTCATCAAGAACAAACCACTAATCATCAGTCATTAGTGGCAAATGAAAATTATATAGCAGCAAAAGAAAGCAACAAGTGGACATTAATAGAAAGTAACGATGAGGATCAGAGGGCAGTTATATACAGGAAATGACTAAATGAACATACATACCTGCATTAGACCCAACACCTCCACTTCTTCACCTACTTTAATGACGCCTTGTTCAACACGGCCAGTGGCAACTGTTCCTCGCCCCTTCATCACAAGTGAAAAATATAAAGCAGCTGATATGATGGAAACCATTGCCCGCATACATATTTCCATCCAATCCAATATATGCAATGAAACAAATGCAGATAGAGAGAACTAAGCAGTGTTGAAAATAAAAATTTTGATATTCTTACAAGGGAAAACAAAACACTTAAATGAGACAACAGTGTTTAAAGCAGCATGTTAAGATTTAAATTACACCACTGCGTCATATTATTACAAATAGCAAGGCCGTAACAAATACTACCTCCTTTCCTTTTTTATTCTTGAAAAACCTATACAAAATTATTAAGAATTTGAAATTTTATCCTTCACCTAACTGGATTTAGAAGAGCAAGAAAGAAATTGTTCAAGTGACCACAGTTACACGGATGACCCAGTATTATAAACCACTATTCCACATATGCTCCAGTGTTCATAATCCCATCTGCTTATGATGTTAAGTACATCAATAATTGCTGTAGTTTGAGTAAACTGAAGGAGAATATTAAGAATTTAAAACAATTTTAATATAAAAAATAGTAATAAATAGTGTTTGGATAAACTTAAATTTTAGGAGTTTATTGGTAATTTTGTTTGAGTCTTATTTTATTAGTTTGAATCTAGTAATATTTATTTTGATTTTGATAGAGATAAAATAAGATAAGTAGTTTTGATTTTCTATTTATTTAAGTATAGTATTATTTTGTTTTGTTTATATAAGATAGAGAATAAATTAAGTAGTTATTTTTATTTTGAGTGAGTTATTTTTAGTTTTTATTTGGCCCAAGACCCTATTTGCACCTATTTAAAGCATGCCAAGATTTAATGAAAATAACCACAGTGAATTAAAGATTCCAATTATTTTTGTGTGTCACATTTTATTTTAACAAATAATACTTCTTAAACAGTATAGTAACCTAAGCGGTGTTTATACTGGAACAGATGGAAGGTGATAGAACGTGATAAAAACATAAGACTTACATTACATACTGTAAGAATTTTATAACTGAGACGATCTTTACTTCAATGAATCTGATTTCTCCAAAAATTAACCCAGAAAATAAAGTTCAAGTCCTTTTACCTGAATTGAGAACACATCTTCAATTGGCATTAAGAAAGGCTTGTCAAGTTGGCGAACAGGGTCAGGAATGTATTCGTCTACAGCATCCATTAATTTTAGAATCGCTTGTCTTCCAATCTCGTCATTTGTACCTTGTAAAGCAGACAAGGCTGAACCTCTGATGATCGGGATTTCATCCCCAGGGAACTTGTAGAAGCTCAGAAGCTCTGCCAAACACATTAACATAAAAACACATTTTAGCAAACACGGACAACAGAAACTTAAGCAGGCTTATTCATTTTCTGAGCATGAAAAAGAAAAGGGAAGCCTTGGAGAAACAACCTACCACGTAGCTCCATCTCTACAAGCTCTAACAACTCTGGATCATCAACAGCGTCAACTTTATTTAGAAAGCAAACAAGAGATGGCACACCAACCTGCATAATACATTTAAAGATAAAATGTCAATCTAGAAGTAAGGAGGAAGGTCTAGACATTCTAGGTATATATATATACAAACCACATCAGTAGAATACCTACTTGGCGAGCAAGAAGAATGTGCTCCTTTGTTTGAGGCATTGGTCCATCAGGTGCAGATACAACAAGTATACCACCATCCATTTGGGCAGCTCCCGTAATCATATTCTGAAAAGCAGACAATTATAAAGCATATAGGCAACAAGAATTATTTTGTTATTCAAACTAAATAAAACCATTAGATAAAACATCTAGTAAGTACATAAAGGCAAGCTGGAATGCTAAACCCACCAGCATTCATGGAAAATATAAATCTGACAGATGCAACTGTTGCCAATAATCAGTGTAATAAATAACTATAAAATGAATTTTGTTACAAACTAATCTACTTCCAAATTCCTAGCATACATTTTGCATCTCGTTTTGAAAAGAAGATCAGGCTACACCAGCACCAAAATATGCTAAATTCCACAATTAACTATTATACATGGTAAAAATTCTTAAATTTGTCCGCCACAGCTTAGCCACCCAGCTTCTGTTAGGCAATTGATAACTCCAATCAACCAAACCATTCTTGGAGAAATTAAACCAAATTAGAAAGCTTACTTTAACATAATCCGCGTGTCCAGGGCAGTCCACATGCGCATAATGTCGTTTGGCAGTCTCATACTCCACATGAGCCTGAAAACCGAAATATTGAGCAAGTATACATCTCAGCAGAAAACAACACAGTTGATTGCAAGAACAAAAAGGTACGATTCCAAACCGTCGCAATGGTGATTCCTCTCTTCTTCTCTTCAGGAGCCTTGTCAATTTCATCAAAGGCCACAGCCTTGGCCTTCCCTTCATCCGCAAGCACCTGATCAAACCTAATTGAGTAATAAACACCAAAACATCCACTTCAACACACATTTAAAGAAAGAGTGAATCAAGACCTTGGTGATTGCCGCCGTTAGCGTGGTCTTCCCGTGATCCACGTGTCCAATAGTTCCGACATTAACGTGAGGCTTCCTGCAACATCAAACAATAAGATGAACAAAATAAGTAAAACACGTATTAATAACGATTACTGTTACTTACATACTGTAAATTTTGTGACAAAAAAGAGAAAGAGAGAGCGTTACGTTCTGGTGAAAGTTGCCATGGATCTCCACCATGGATGGGAATTGAAAGAATAGGAGGAGGAGGTGGTGGAGTCATTGGGAGTAGAGAGAGGAGAACGAGATACGGAAGAGTGGATTTGAGAGGCTAAGGGGAAGAGGCGGCGAGAAGTGGAAGAGGAGTGTCTGAGAAGAAGAGTGGCCATTGAAGAAGTGATGAGAAGAAAGAAAAGCCCTAACTATGGAATGCAGAGGCGAGGGTTTTAGGAGAGAGGGAAGACAAAAGCCAAGCGCAGTGAGTGCGAAGAACGAGGGTTTTAGAATGGGCGCCCGACACCGACCCGTCATATTCGTGCGGCCCAATTCGAGCACTCTCATAATGTTTCGGAACACAACGCCGAAACAAGTATCTGAACTAACCACGTCTTTTTTCTCTTACAAATGTTTTTTTCCTTCTTGCTTCTAATCACGTCAACCAAAAGTATTATAACTAAGAAAAACTTTCTTGCTCCGACAGAAATTATTTGAAGTGATTTTTATCTTTTAAAGATTATAATTGAATTAATTTAAATTTTTAGATAAATGACTCAATTCGTGATTGGTTTAACTTATTTAGTTAAATGGTATTTTTGTTGTTGTAAATTTTAAGTATACTTTATGAGAAATAATTCTGTTGGAGGTAGAAAAAAATATTATATATTAGGATAGGTTATTCTAGGAAAGATATTTTTTCATTACGTAGAAGTTAAATTGAAGACCTTATGTTGAAAAATTAATTCATATTCCTTGGACTAATTATACGTGTTATTCATTTACTAACTTTTTAAAAGTGATTTTCGAAAACTGACAAATCTTTCTTTATTCTTTTTAAAATGAATAGATACATTAAAAGATAATTTGTGTAATTAAGAACTATTATTTATATTCAATGTAATACAGGTTTTAGTATAGATGCTTTTATGTACTATAGGATACTAATCCACCAACCGGTTGACCAATAACCCGGGCGATTCATAACGACATTCGACCACGTGTT